ATCAGCTGTTCTCTCCTCTTGCGTACCGGCCAAATCACCACCAGCCTCCACACACGGCGAACGCCTCGATCGATTCGCCATCGTCCAACCACTTTGACGCGTGATCTCTCTTTGACTATCGTACTCGCGCCGGTCCTTGTTCAAACTTCACACTAAGCTTCACTCACGATCTAACGATTACCGTCTGGTGACACGTTTCTTTAAGTCGGCATCGTCGAGGAGGAAAGAAACTACGGCGGTTTTTCTATGAGTCGATGAGAGAGCCTCTATGAGGGAGGAGCCATCATCGAGCGACGATTATGTTCGGTTTCGCGCGCGTTCCACGTGCGACGGTCGAAGAACAACGAGGACGGTGTCTTTGACACGTTCGGGTTGATCGGTAGTACTGTCGGTCCTTGTTTAGAGGTTTCAGGGAGTATTCTCGTGATACTTTCAGCAAAATGATCTATGACGTTTGTTGCTGTTGCTGGACTTTCTTTGGTTTGATGGAGAACGATAGGGTGAATTTTTGAGGATGATCGAGGAACGAGGGGAACACGGTTACGTTTAGTGTTGAAGAGTTTCAGTTCGTTGTTGTAAGATGTTACATAGAGTTGCTTTCGGATGAGACGAGGAACTTAGTTGTCACCGCTGGTTGAAGAAGAGCAACGAAGTGTTCGAGGAAAAGTGTATCAGTGCGTTCGTTGAGAAAACGAGGATTGCCGGGAAGTGGTGCACGAATGACACCGAATCGTGTTTGTGTGATGTGCGGGAGGAAATAGTGCACGGATAGTGGTTAAAAGGAGGGATCGAGGGAGTGACTACGACGGATCTAGCAGCGGAACCGGCAAACTGGAGATCCTAGGGATGTTTCCGCCGCGAACGGAAGCGCCGACAGCGGACAAGCTGGCGCTCTGTTACGCGCCACACGTTGACATGACCACCGTGATCGAGGTCGAGGTGTGTTTCGATACGAAATTTTACGATCTACTACTCTATCGGCACCTAAAGCACGATATTAAGGATGCAAACGATTTCTTTTCTTTCATGGAGGATAAAATAGTCGAGGAGAATCGTTGAAAATTGCAAATTAATTTGGGCAACACTGAAAGATTGACCAAGTAACAGGAGAAAGAAAAGTTTGCTAACTGAGTATCTGAGAGAATCATTTTTAGTTCTTAGAGAAAATTGCGCGATCCCATAATTTATGGAAATTTTGAAATAATTATTGGATATTGTTTTCGATCTATATATGAAATTTTACGATCTATTACTTTCTCGATCCATTCTTCATATTTGAAACGGGATATTAAGAAGGCAAACGATTTGTTTTCTCTCATAGAGAATAAAATAGTTGTAGGCAATCGTTGCAAATTGCAAATTGATTTGGGCAACGCTAAAGTATTGACCAAGCAGAAGAAAAAATTTGCCAACTGAGTATCTAAGAGAGTCGTTTTCAGAGAAAATTGTGTGATTCTATAATTTATGGAAATTTTAAAACGGTCAGTAGGTACTATTTTCAATGCTGAAAGAAGAAACTTTTTCGATCCATTCTTCATATTTAAAACATCATATTAAGAATGCAAACGATTTGTTTTCTTTCATAGAGGATAACATAGTCGAGGAGAATCGTTGCAAATAGCAAATTAATTTGAGCAACACTGAAAGACTGATCAAGCAGCAGGAAAAAGAAAAGTTAAGAGAATATTTAAGAGAATCGTTCTTAGTTTTTAGAGAAAATTGCGCGATCCTATAATTTATGGAAATTTTGAAATAATCATTGGATACTATTTTCAATACTGAGAGAAAAAATTTTATTATCGACTACTTTTTCGATCCATTCTTCACGTAAACAGAATACCAAGGAGGCACACGATTTCTTTTCTTTCATGGAGGATAAAATAATTGAGGAAAAGTAAATTAGACAACGCTAGAATATTGGCCAAGCGGAAAAAATAATTTGCCAACTGAGTATCTAAGAGAGTCGTTTTTAGAGGAAATCGCGTGATTCTGTAATTTATGGAAATTTTAAAACAATCATTGAACATCATTTTTTGCACTGAAAGAAAAAATATTAATTCGAGAATACGAACAAATTTTATTTGTCGCTTAACTCTGTACACGGCGCTCAATTTTTCTCAGTTTCTTATTTTCTTTGACAAATATTTTTTTATTTCCCTTTAAGCAATCTTCTGTATCTATGTGACAATTGAAAATAATTTAAGCAACTTTAGCATGAAACCGAAAAGAAGTTGCTCGTGCGTTCAAATTTTAGGCGCGACTGCCGGAAGATGAAATTGGTTCAAAGCCAAATTACACGTGTCACAAACGAGAAATTCTTAAAATCCTCGAGTCTACAATTAATCGTTAATCTCCACGACGAAGTTCCATAAAATTTATGCCCAATTTCGTTCCCCCTAAGAAAAGGAAGATCCTTGAGCTACATTTCTTAGAAGCATTACTCGTGCAACGATTGCGTTTCAGCTTCTATCTGTTAATAATATATGAAAATATAATTCAAAGAAAACTATCCTGTAAAATATGTGAAAATACCTTCGATAACCCGTAAAAAGCATTCCATAAAACCAGGCAAAGCATCCTTAAAGAAACTTCGTATTTCTCTTGTGCAATCTAATTCGAGTAATTACCCCGAGCAACTTATCAATGAAACTGCGAAACTCTTTAAAACTACGAAATAATTCATCATTTACGTCAGTGTTACCCGTGCACACTACGTTCTCCGATCAGTTTAATCTCTCAAACATTCTCTTACACACAGACGTACACGCGTCTATCTCTGAAAATCTCCAAGCACGAAACGTTGAATGAAAAATACACACACGCACACACACGTGCCTAAGTAAGTAACATAATTCTCGCGAGCATATATTCGATGTGCGTATTTATTCGTAATCTACGATCTGTCGATTTCGACACAAGGATCGGCTTATTGGTTATTAATTGTCTACTTGTCATATGTGGCAAGAGGGACGATTTCTCTCGGCGTTATCAATAGTGATCTCAGCTGGAAAGTTCGGCTATGCGTCTTGTGAAATGAATTGGCCGTTTGCAGGTTGCTCTCGAGACCCGAAATTTTATGCGTGCGTGTATTGTGTCAGATCGTTTTTTCTTCCTTTTTTTTTTTCCATCCAACTCGTTATTGAACGATCGCTGCTGCTTTTTTTTCTTCTCTCCTCTCTCCGTGATCTACATAGTTCTTGATTTCTTAAATTACTACCTTCGTCTCGATTAAATCGATTAAACTGTACAATAGCGAGGAGACCATCCAACTCGTTATTGAACGATCGCTGCTGCTTTTTTTTCTTCTCTCCTCTCTCCGTGATCTACATAGTTTTTGATTTCTTAAATTACTACCTTCGTCTCGATTAAATCGATTAAACTGTACAATAGCGAGGAGATAGAGGAACGATTTTTACCATTTACAAGGACAAGTTTCGCGAAATAAGCAGCGATTCAACGTTGAAATTACCGATTAACCCGGAGACGTTGAACACTGTATAATTGTCGAGAGAGGCAGATAGTAAGTGCGCCATTATGACGTACTGTTAAACCTGTTAGTATCGTCGTAATTTTCTACTGTTATAATTACCGATCCTTCCGCCGTTCGACGCGAAACGATCGCCGACATTTTTGCTTATTCGCTCGTTGTTACTCGCATGATGCCGCGCTTAGAGATTCGATACACTGACGGACCATTGCTTTTATATTTCGCTGGAATAGTTTCCGTGATTGTATACGAGCATTCTCTCCGTTTCTTCTTCTTCTTCTTTTTACTTTGGGGAAGTACCACGTCGAATTCTCGATTAAAATTAACCTATCAGGCGAATGATCCGAATAGCAGGCAGCTATGTATTGGGCGGTTCGGAAAGTTCGTAGAGAAATTTGGGAAAAATTCTAACTGACGTATCTCCGTGACAGAAAGAAAAAGGTGTTTTACTCCCGCTAATATTTGGACACTCTTTAGAACAGTATAACTTTTTTAAAAATTGGACACGAGGATTTTTGTTTTTTTTTTCGAGAAGTTAGATGGATTAGCGTACTAGATTATGTGCGCAAAATATTTGGAAAAAATTGCAATTTGTGGAAATTGGGAAGAAAATTGTAAAGGGCAATTTTTACAAATTTTTTTAGGTAAGCTTGTAGTGAAAATTTAAAAAGTACGTTCTGCAGATTCGTGTGAATTATATGCACGCTGAAAATTTCACCGAAATCGGTTAACGTCGCTGTGAGCTACAAACGGTTGAAGATTGTGAAAATCACATGTCGCTGTTTCTCCGTCGACCGATTCCGATGAAATTTTCAGCATATGTATAATTCACGTAGGTCTACAAAACGTCTGTTTTAAATTTTCACTACGAGCTGAGATAAAAAAGTTGCAAACAGTGATCTTTTGCAATTCTCTTCGCGATTCCCACAATTTGCAATTTTTTCAAAAATTTTTGCACACCTCATCTAGTATACTAATCCTTCTACCTGGCCAATTAAAAAAATGTTATACTATTCTAAAGAGTGTCCGAATATTAGTGGGACTCGCTATAAATCCAATCTACCCCTAAAACTACTCCCAAAGCGAACTATATTCTCCGCAGTAAATCCGCGCTCCACTGCAATAAACATAATTCGATTTGTATCCGCAGTTGTTCATCTTACGAATAATTTCGTCTTCAATTATCGAGAAAAGTACCGTTTAACTTTTACGTTAGCTATGTCAATTAGAAACAGAGAAATACGACAGTTCAAATTTCTCTACGAACTTTCCCAACAACCCAATAGAAGATTTTCCAAGAAACAAGAAGACAATCTTCCCAATCCTACAATTAACATAAAGCAAACGGACCAAGGATAATAAAAAAACAAAAAAAAAATTGGATATCGTGGATATGAACACGTCGACACGTGGTCTCGTTTAAATCCGAAATTTAACAACCCGATAAATTCAAATCAGCAATTTAGCTACGCGAAGGTATTGGAGACGCGTTTCGCCACGAGACCGACACACGTGAAAGTGGGACCTATAATGGTCGAGTAACAAACATTACTGCAAATTGAAATACGCCTTAATGGGCTTGCTTTGGGCGTCGAAAAGGAACGGTACTCTCTTCCAGGACGGTTCGTAACGACGGGGCTCGTTAAACGACGACAAATATTTCATACGAAAATAAACGTTCCGCGACGAATCTCTGTTGCAACGTAGACTCTCCCCGTCGACTGTGCCTCTTTCGAAATACAGACTTCGTGAACATTTTGGAAAGCGGACCGAAGCTTGAATTTTGTCTCGTTACAGACGCACGCTGGGCTGGTATCAGGTGGATTAGGAGTCACGTGTTTGGCCAAGCGAGAGTACGGTTCCCTTCTATAACGGGCCTTTCCGTTCGATTTTCGAACGAGCGATCGTTAAATGCCGTTACCAACAGCTTTGATTGTCCAATTCTTCCTCTTGTACGAACGAGATTTTACAACTTTGCTCGGCACTTCGTCGCGCACCTCGCCTCGAACCTTCTGATACAGTCTTCTCGCGAGGTTTGTGTGGATCAAGTGATCGAGATTAAAGGGATTTTCAGAGAATTTTTTTGAACTTTTGCTCTTTGTTTATGACGATAGCGATTCATTCAGTATTTTAGGGGAGATATACACCTAATTATGTTGAAAAATTCCATCATTTTTTGCATGTTTTTAATGCTTGATGTGTAAAGAATGTTTTTTTCGAAATTTGAGACGGAAATTCGGAGGAATATCAATGATGCAGAGGTTTAAAGCGAAGTATGCTGACGCAGAAGAAAATTTAATATATTGTTAATATTTTTATGTAAAGAAATTGAATATTGTAAACAGTGATAAGATTAAATTATGAATACGATAATATTTGTACTTTCTTAAGAAACAATTCTGGAAGAACGTCAGTTTTTCGGCCTCTTCAGATGTATGTACATGCCCCTTTAACCCTTTCGCGACACCAGAAGGATACTTATGTTATAGTTGAGTACTCTCACAAAATTGATCTCCATTTAGTATCCATCACAGACATGATGATCGACAGATAAGTAAGAAATTCTTGAAAAAATAATTCTGTCACGAAAGGGTTAGTCTAGATCCTTAAGGATTCTTTATTAAAGGGTAGAAAAATTAACAAAATCTTTAAAATATTGCAAAAAAATCATTAATCAATTATCTCGTAAATTGACAATGAAATATATAAACAAATTAAATAATTGGCTTGAAAGATACCATTTAAGGGTTCGAAATAAAAATCGCACAATATAAAGCTTCCAAATTTCACTTACAATGGAAAAACTGTATTCCAGTAACTTCTCATAATAAAATACAACAGTACAAGTATCTCGAAACTCGAAAATTATCAATTTGCAAAACTAAAAAAATACCAAAGAATGAAATGTAACCAACGATACCACAGTGAGGCAACTTTCATCACACTCGCGAATAGTGCATCACTTTTAAATCGCCTCGGATAATTAGAACGGACACGTGACATTCACAGGTGGAGCATGAATGGGGGAGAAAAAGGTGCATGTTGGCCCTTTCGCGGCTTATAAAGATGTTCGAGATCGTATCACGGGCACAGAAACCTAATGGCTTGCACCGGCAAAGTGTCGACACAAAGCCTTTCCGCCGATATTCAGATAAATCACCGGGCTGATACTATCTACCTGAGTAATACCGCGTAATCGTTCCATCGAAAGATCACGCGGACCAGATTACGTTCCGTTTTCATTGTGCGAAAAATTTCGAGAGCCGAGCGAATGTTTGTGTCGTTTTGAAAATTAGGGGTATCAATTCCACTCCCGTATTGTTCAATTTTCACATGGTTGCTCTTATGGTGATTTCGTTTCGTTACGAAATTTTCTATCGCTTTTTAGAATTACCTTTGAAGGACCACTGATGAGCGATACCTTCGTGCATAGGTAATAGTAAAGTTTAGTGGCAAATTTAAAATAACAATAATTTAAGAAAAAGAAACTTTTTTGAATATATGTGCGTTAGAAAATTGGTTCATATTCGTATAATTCTTGATCGCCCAAAACACAGAGAGAAAAGGAGAGAAGCAAATGAAAGTGCGGAGTTGAGTTAGAAAAGCAAAGGAGAACGGCAAAATATAATCGGTTTCTGGAAAAAGTGAAAATAGCAAACAGAATGTAAAGAAGAAGAAGAAACTAATGATCTCAGCAGTCGATGCGACTCTAAATTATTAAATAGAGAAATAAAAATTGATTCGTTGAGAGAAAAAGATGTACAAGTAATGTACTTATTATTGAAGAATTTTTTTTACCATTTAAAGTATTCCCATTAATTTACCGGTTTACCTGCGAAAATATTGGTTGTTTTAATTTCGTCGATAATTTGTTTACCGGCAATCGCGTAATAGTATTTGCTTTTCATTTCTACCAATTATAGAAGCTGTGCATACAATTCGCTATATTTTCAAACGTGAAACATGCTTAATCACAGTTCAGCAATTTGCTTCGATGATCTGGCGATTTGCGACTGATATTTCATACAATCGATAGTTCACAGAGACCACGCATATAACTATCGTTTTGTACGAGAGATGCTTATCGAAATTTTGCAACACCGATAGGTAGAAGAAAGAAAATTGACTTTTCTCAGTAAACGAGAAAGAACAATACAACACACTGACGTGCCTGCGAACGAATAATTGAACGCAAATGATTTTTACTTTCGCGTGAAAATTTCAAGTTCACCTGATAAGAATATACTGATAGACTTTCTGCAATATTTTTATCCATTTTACACTGATATAGGTATACACTCCCGTTTGTAAGTATCGAGACACCTGTTGAATGTAAACAAAATCTCAATGGTCGTTACAGAATTGTTAAAATCCTCCCGGAATCTCGTAATTAAGGAGCGTATATATTGTCACCTTAATACCACCGCTAGATAATTCATACTCCATTCGTAAATTCTATAAAAGAGGCGATAATTAAATTTTGCTTCTTTTCGTTGCACTTCCTTTCGTAATTTTCATAAATTCACATTTTCTGGATGAGTATATCAGAAGTCATGTATACACTACCGGTCAAAAGTCTGGAATCACCTCCCACTTTTCATCAATATTAAATCTGCTGCAAATTTTTTATAGATTTGAAGTTTATCTCGATTCTACATTTATCAATTTGTCTCATATCAGTTGATTCGAATGATAAAAAATTCTCAAAGTCGCTGACTTTTTTCTGGAAATTTTTGTGTAAATTGCAATGCTCGGTGATTCCAAACTTTCGGCCGGTAGTGTACGTGTCCAAAACTTATGAGCAACAGTAGGTATATATTTTGGGCAAAGGTACACATTTTTAAAGGAACCATAATCACACAATAAAAAGTTCTGAAAGTAATCCTTTCACTCGATAATTTCCTCAGAAATTCACGAAAAATTACACTTCCCAATAAAAAACCACCCTCAAATTTAAAAGGACCATAATCACACAACAAAAAGTTCAGAAATCAATCTTTCAACTCAGTAATTACACTAGACACTCGCAAAAAATGACACTTCCTCCCAAAAAAAGGCACCACCAAACACAACGAAGTGAAAAGCGTCCAAAGGAAATGACTTCCTATAAACCAACTTCCTAATCATTTACTTCACTCGTCGTCTTCGAGATCCAAAACATCAATATTCCTCACTAGCCTGTTATCAGTCACCGTGTGATATATCAAACGAATTACCCTACACATCCGATTTGTCGTCACTCTGTACTCGATAAGCAATCGAAAACGACGAGAAAATAAAGAAAATTACGATCGATATGTAAACGTCTCTCGATATAGACTGTGTCTACCTCTATCCACCGATGCGTTTCCACGCTTATCATTTCTAATAACACTTTACCGCGTTATCGAGGGCTCCGTGTCCGGGTGTTACTCGTTCAACCTTAATACAATTTTCTGCGGGGAAAGATCGGCGACACACCTACATTCTGGCCCAAAGCTATTTGCGTTGCGTTGCTCGCCCAGAAGATTTGCATAGTATTTATCCGCGTTTATGCTTACCACCTTCGGCGAATAAGCGCCACTGTCCCATATACTCGTCGTTTGCAATAATGACAGACCTCCAGCGTGGCTGGCACGATTTTTTTCTTTCTTTCTTTCTTCTTTTCCCTTCTTCTTCTCCCTCGAAGCCGGCGTACATTAGTCACCGCAATTACCAGTGACCAGTAATTTTTTAATAGCGGCGAAAGTTGAGCCCGACAACGAACGATAAGTTTACGTAGGTATGTGCGTGTATACCTTGCCCGCGTTTATTATGGTTATTACTTTTTATTTTTCCTGATTTTCCTTCTTTTTTTTTCTCCTTTGGCGCGCTTCGACGCGTGAGGCCTCGGCGCCGGATACGATTACGTTCAATTACAGTAGAGATAGATTCTGGTGTAAGTAGTGCCGCGTTGAGGAGTGTGCGCAACGCGGTGAAAATATTCGAGAGACGGACAATGCGTGTGGTATCTGGTGGAAGGGAGTTATTACCGATAGAACTGCGTGAACGCGGAATGATACACGGTTTAGAGGGGATGAATTATGTGGAATCGTAACGGGTTGAAGTATCGAGTGTGCCAGAGGCATGATAATGTCTGAGCTCTACCACTGTGCGCAGTGGAATGAGCGTTTTGTAGCGGATGAAGCATACATCGATCATTTTCTAAGTTTCTTTATGCGCGTCATTTTTTTTCTCTGTGTTCTTCTTTCGGTGGAGACGTGGGTATTTAATGGATTAAATGTCTGTGGATTTTTATAGAAAATTTCTTTTTCAATGGTGGAAGGTTGTGCATGCACGTAGCACGTTGTAAGGTGGGAAATTTAATTACTGTGAACAGGAAAGCTTCTCGGAATAGATTGTCTATGAAACATCAAAAGCAGGTAGTTAGAAAAAATTGAACATCTCTCGAAAATTCTGCTCTCTTTACTTATAACAAAATGTCTTATCGATGCCAACCCGGCTTGGCTACTGAACAGGAAAGATCAAGTAAAGCTAACAAGAATAAGAATAGGTCACACAAACTGGTCACACTCCCATCTCATCACCAAAAAGGAACCAAACAACCGTGATATCTGCGGGATACAAAACTCCATCGATCACATCCTGATAATCTGCACAAAGTACAATATGAAAAGGATCCAACGTAACTTGCCGAATTCACTGACCATGCTTCGAAAAGAAGATTCAAGTAAAAGAGCTATAAACTTTTTGAAAGATTTTGGTTTATACCACCTACTGTAGACTGCACCACCGAATAAACTCACTGTGGTCACTAATAACCTCAGAAGGTGCATGTGACCTTAATCACCCAATAAAAAAGAAAAATGTCTTATCTATCAATTTCTCATTTTTCAGGGTGTTTTGAAATGTTTGGGAATTCACATGATTTTCATTTTTTAAGCAAGGTGCTTTGTAGGGCTATGAAACAGTCTAGTTTATTTGGTTTAACTGTTTTATGGACGATTTTAAATTATAAAGCCTCATTCTTCTCGGTCAGTGTTTTTATTACAAAAATTCTCCGAGCTTTTTAGCGAGAGCTCCTCAAAAATCTGCGATCCTAAAAGGGTTAAGAATGTGAGCAAAAGTGACACAAAAGATAGCGAGTGACGCTTTAACGAAACTGTGGTAGCAAGCATACCAGAGACTAAAAAATAATTTTTAAAACAGTGTTAGACAAACGTATGAAACTTTTACGCTTATCTACGGTCGGTAATTTCGTATGCTGTAAGATTACGTGCTATAATAGTGAAGAAACAGATAATGATTTTGCGTACGAAATACTAATGATTTGATTTTTCTGTGAACAGGACCGTTTAACTGGTCACGGGGGTATTTCCTCGCTGGGCGGTGGAAATTCCTCGCCGTATTCCGGCGCCCATCACCACGGTCACAGAGGCAATGGAAACGGCAGCGGGATGCCCCATCACGGGGGCGCGTCGTTGCCCACCGCCTCCGACTTTCAACCCCCTTATTTCCCGCCCCCGTTCCCCTCTCACCACCACGCGCCGGCGAGTCCTCAGCATCCGGGTCTTGGCCAGCCGCAACATCTCGATTACCTCGTCGGCGATCCGTACACGCAGACGCTCAACACGTTACATCAACATCACTATAATCACTTGAGCGCCGCTGTCACAGCTGGTCAGAGGAGTGGTGATCTTAGGAGGGACTCAGAGGGCATCCATGTGGTGAGTAACTTCTTCGAAGAGTTTATCGATATATTTGGTTTAAGGGAAATGTTGAAACTTATGCGAAAAGGTGGAATGAATTAGATTCGGATTAGTTCAATTCGAACTATTCAGAATTTAGGTTTAGTCGATCAAATTGTAAATATTCAAATTCTGATATTTAAATTCAGTCAATGATATACGAATTTTACATGCAGCCAATGAAATTCAAACTGTTCAAATTATAAATTCAGCCAATCAAAATCGAGATATTCGATTTTGAAAATTATGAAATTTATGAAATTCGACATACTGAAAATTTGAATTCAGCCAATGCCATTAGAGTAAGCGCCATTTGGATTCAGCCAATCAAATTCAAATTATTCGAACTTAAAATTCAGCCAATGAAATTCAAACCATTGAAAATTTGTATTCACTCAATCGAATACAAACTATTTCAAAGGATGACATACTTCAATGCAAATATCACCCTATTTAGAAATCCTCAAGTATATTTAGAAACTTAAAGAAATCACAAACCGAGCATTAGGAAGTACTAAAAATTCAAAGTTTCTCGCAATCGGACAGCTGTTCTAAAGCACCGCACGGCCTAGCGGAAACACGATCGTTCGGATTGTCCAGAGGGGGGTTTACGCGCAAAATCGAAGCGCGCGGAGATCCGGTCACGTGCACGTCCGGCCGGCCGGCTCATTAGAAAAGGTGCGCGGCGTGTTATTTGTAGGACAGGCCGCCCCGCCGGTGAACAGCAGGGGGATGCATAATAATGGCTGGCTATCGATCTATTAGACGTATCGTGGCCAATAAGTCGGCCCGTGACATCGGTGATTGCGATCGTTGATCCCACGGAGAGCACGCGAGGAGCTCGGACGCGCGACATTTGCATTTGCCACAGTTCTGCGTGCCTGTCCCCGGTCTGATGGGTGGGGTGGCCTGGTATTAACGTAACTCCAAAGAAACCAGCAGACTATCTCTCTCTTTCTCTCTTTCTTTCCTTCACACTCCGTTTCTCTCATTCGCTCGATCTCTCTCTGTCTCTCCTGCGTTTCTCTCAATCTCTCTCTCTGCCTCTCCTCTCTTTCGATCTCTCCCTGTCTCTCCTCGCCTCTCCTGGTCTCTTCTCGTCTCTCCCTGTCTCTTCTCATCTCTCCCTGGCTCTTCTCGTCTCTCCCTGTCTCTCCTCGCCTCTCCTGGTCTCTTCTCGTCTCTCCCTGTCTCTTCTCGTCTTTCCCTGGCTCTTCTCGTCTCTCCCTGTCTCTTCTGATCTCTCCCTGTCTCTCCTCGCCTCTCCTGGTCTCTTCTCATCTCTCCCTGTCTCTTTTCGTCTCTCCCTGTCTCTTCTCGTCTCTCCCTGTCTCTTCTCGTCTCTCCCTGGCTCTTCTCGTCTCTCCCTGTCTCTCCTCGTCTCTCCCTGTCTCTTCTCGTCTCTCCCTGTCTCTTCTCGTCTCTCCCTGTCTCTCCTCGCCTCTCCTGGTCTCTTCTGATCTCTCCCTGTCTCTCCTCGCCTCTCCTGGTCTCTTCTCGTCTCTCCCTGTCTCTTCTCGTCTCTCCCTGTCTCTCCTCGCCTCTCCTGGTCTCTTCTGATCTCTCCCTGTCTCTCCTCGCCTCTCCTGGTCTCTTCTCGTCTCTCCCTGTCTCTTCTCGTCTCTCCCTGTCTCTTCTCGTCTCTCCCTGTCTCTTCTCGTCTCTCCCTGGCTCTTCTCGTCTCTCCTGGTCTCTTCTCGTCTCTCCCTGTCTCTCCTCGTCTCTCCCTGTCTCTCCTCGCCTCTCCTGGTCTCTTCTCGTCTCTCCCTGTCTCTCCTCGTCTCTCCCTGTCTCTTCTCGTCTCTCCTCGTCTCTCCTTGTCTCCCCTCGTCTCTTCTCGTCTCCCCTGTCTTTCTCTCCTTCGCTCTCCCTTTATCTCTTTCTCTATATTTCTCCCTCTTTCTCTCTCGCGCTCTCTGGAAGAATCACGAGCTGGCCAGAAGAACCGGCCAGCAGGAAGTCGTGGATGAACGGAACGTTTTGTTCCCTATCGGATCGATTTTTCTACCGCGCGGACGGATCGCGATTTCTTGCCCGTTCTCCGTCGATGTTCTACCATTCTGATCCGGCATTAGCCGTGCAACGTGTTGAATACGCTCGAACACGGGGCGAACAGCTCCGGGTTAAGTGTACCTGCAGCGGCTTTTTGTTTGGAAAGGTGCGAGAGAATTGTTTGTTCTAGCGGGAATCGTAAGTACGTGAACGAACGTAGCCTGTACACCGCAGCCAGCCTTCTAAAGAGTCGAGTCGACGGTCTATTTCCTAGGTTGCGATGCTTAGAGAGAGAGTCGATTCTTTTCCGTTGTGTTTGGTGAAGTGTTGACCGTAAACGGTGCTTCGACAGGCTACGAAGAGATTTAAATGAGCAAGACTTTGGGATTGTTTTGCCGGGGAGAATTGTTGGGAACGGAGTGGGCAATTAGGAATGTAGGTTTCGTTAGGATCATGTTCGCGAGGAGATCGTAAGTAGCGCGGAGGTTGAAGAATAAATCAGAATGATTCGATGCTTTTGGTATTTGTTCGTTTCTTTTTTTTTTTAACTGAATAAAAGAAACACGTTTCTGAGGATATTTCTTAGGTTGTTTCTTAGGCTGTTGCAGATGAAATGACCTAGCATTTAATGAAATTTTAACGCCTATAATTTTGATAAAAATAATCGAAGTACGATCCACTGTGATCAATTGAGAATTGGAAGAAACGAAAAAAGCTTCTTTTAAAAAACCACATTTTAGCAAAAATTGAATTGAATACAGAACCCTCGTCAGTTTCTCCAATTACATATACTAATCGTCACGAATTTTCGTCGGTATTCTTGAATGATTATTAGTTCAACAAAACGCAAGTGTGTTTCAATAAAACACCATCCGAAAGAATTGAACGTCCCAAATAAACTCCCGCCAAGTTTGTCGCCTGTGTTCACGGTAACGTAACACCTCGCTACTGTGTATTTAGGGGGCAACTTTAGACCTCTAATAACGCTCATAGTAATAGTATTTGCGGTACACCTTACCCCAATAGCTTCTATGAAAATATCACCCTAATTACAGCAACGGGACGCGCGTACACCACACTCTGGATTATGTTTTGGGCGGTTTCCATAGGTGTCGTGTGACATTCGTGCAAAAAAGACCAGGTTTGACGAAACTCGACACGCGCGTGAAGAATACGTTTAGTTTCACACAGCTCGAATCTGGCGAGAAGAGGAGAAAAGTGGGTTCAGTTTTAAAGCATCTGCCTGTGCCATATGCAGTCTCGTATTGCTCGTGCCAACTCTCTGTCGAAAATTATTTACTTCGCTCTTTGTAGAGTGAGAGAAACGTGAATGGGAATATCCTCGAACTTTGATGAAAGTATGGTCGTTGACTTGCAATATGAAGTTTATGCAATAATATACTAATACGAGGATATAAATTAATGTGGAAATGTTTACAAGAAAACTGGGAAAATTTTTAATAGAATATTTTACTATGCGTCTCGCTCTCGCTTACGTTTCACTCTCTTTCTCTCTGTTTACTAGCATCCCCAATTAGTAATATATTTACGGTGGGACCCCGTATATCGCGATGAAAAAATTCCTACTTTCCCCGTATAGCGCGATAAAAAATGAAAAGAAGGAAATCATACAAATTTGAAATTTTGGAATTTTGAGTGAATTAAATTTGATCCGAAAAGCGATATTGGTGGAATTTTATTTGCATTATATTTCCCGCGTTGTAAGAGGTTTTACTTTAGTTGTAATTATATTAATATAAATAATCCAACAAACAAAAATAATAAAAATAGTGATAACACCTTAACAGTATTTAAATTGAAATTTATTTAGGTGAAAAATTATAATTTAGCTTGATTATTTATTTATTTTTATTAAACATTACTTGACAAAGTAATTGTCATTTGCAATTTAATGTCTTATGAATAAGCATGGATTCTGATGTAAGTAGTTCTGATTTTTTTTTTTTAAATCTATGATCGTTTGAGTGATACGAAGACGAAGAACAAAGTGTTATTCAATTTTTCTGGAAGATCGAAGAGGGAATCTGTTTCGTATTCGTGAATGTATATAGGTATATGCAATGTTCCATCAGAAACTCGACTTTAAAATACTTTACCATCTTATGAGATTGCGATATCGATTAGCTCAAGCAGTACAACCCCTCGTACCCTATCTTGGTCTGCCTAAAGCACATTCTTCAAAGGAGGGTGGCCGACCTCGTTCTCAATGAAATCTTACACCGATGCAATCCCTCGATTCGCGAAATATCGAGCAAATCCTTCGAATACTTTTACTGTCTATTCCTCGTGATTCATATTCATACTTCTAGCTATTAATAATTCCTTTGATATTAATCCGACATTGCACAATTCAAAAAATTCTGAAAAATTCATTCATATTCCCATATCTAGTCACTAATAATTTCCTTAATATTAATTTCATATCTTACAATTCTGAAAATTCTGAAAAATTGATTTATATCTACGCATCTAGTCACTAATAATTTCCTTAATATTAATTTCATATCTTAAAATTCTGAAAATTCTGAAAAATTGATTTATATCTACACTTCTAGTCACTAATAATTTCCTTAATATTAATTTCATATCTTAAAATTCTGAAAATTCTGAAAAATTGATTTATATCTACACTTCTAGTCACTAATAATTTCCTTAATATTAATTTCATATCTTAAAATTCTGAAAATTCTGAAAAATTGATTTATATCTACACTTCTAGTCACTAATAATTTCCTTAATATTAATTTCATAACTTAAAATTCTGAAAATTCTGAAAAATTGATTTATATCTACACTTCTAGTCACTAATAATTTCCTTAATATTAATTTAACATTGCACAACTTAAAAAATTCTGAAAAGATTAGAGCACGAACGGAAATAAATTTCATACCAGCATAAATATCGTAAAGTTAACATTAAACCCTATTTAAATTTCTTTTCTGTTACTTTATGTACACAATACAAA